TTATACTTGGATAAATATTTTTACTTATGTATTTTAACTGAAATATTGGCTTCATTTACATGAGACCGCGTCGTAAAAAGCAGTTGAAAAGACTTTACCTCTGACACTCATCCGCACTTCAGAGCGAGATAGTAACAGATCCAAGCAGGCGACATGATGTGAAAAAAAGGAGCAGTCCTGCACCTTAGTAATGATAATGAACTAATGACATTAGCGTGTGACCGGGCCGCTCCTCGAACAACAACAAACACGTTCGTCTGTAATGGCTGCCATCTACCGGTGTTCTGAAAAAGTTTGTATCCCTGAAAAAAGTTTCCCCACCAGAGGGGGCGCTCGCGAGTAGGAAGCAATCTGCTTTTGCCCCAGAAGATGGCCCAAATCTCACGTGAAGTCTCTGACTTTTGTGTTGGCGCATCCTGGTGGACTGTATGTAAAATGCCAGAATTCATATGATGCTCAAAATAAAGTTTGCTGATATATATTTGTTGTCAAAATACCTTTTAGTACATATGTTGTTAAAATAAAATGAAAAGTCCAATGATCATTTTACTGATGTGTATTGTAAGAGTGAGCTTAAGGTAAATTAAGCTTTTCCCACATCTCTCATACACAAGGTTATGAGGAAACTTTTACCAAGGTATTTCTCATTACTTGTTAATATCTTGACTGTGCGAAGTCAAAAATGACACAATAAGTGAACGTTCAGATGAGTTCAAGTTGATTCATAAAAGACTATGCAATCATTTATTTACACAAATTGAATATATCATAAGTTACACTTGATTGTGGTTATTCCTATAACAAGCGTCGGAGTTAAATGAGATAAAACCCGCGTCCGAATTTCAATTCACATCAACTCAGATTACTTATATAGAACAGTAAAACGTCTGTTCTGATGTTAACAACCAAACAATTTTACTGGCACTTTTAGCTTAAGTTTTGGCAAATTAAGAACAAGGAAAGGAGGAAAGTAAGATTAGTATGTTACTATGACTTTTACTTTTATCAAAGTGTGGGTCAACCGGAACTGCGCGTCTTTTCTAAGTTCAGGTTCCACATGACACGTCACTCCGAACACATCAGCTTTTACCTGATGATGGCTTCTTWAGGCACCCTCGGGGTAGGAGCTGGCTTGCCTCCGGTCAATCAGGGAACTGATGTCGGCTCGCTTACCGGTCATTGGCGAACAGGTGTTTTTCCAGGTAACTTTTGTCTGTTTCAGTCCAAGCCAGAAAAATTCYAGCCGTATCCGGTTCCTCCTTCCAAAATAAAACCTCCCCTCGGGAGTTAAAAACACACTTAGAGGCTCGGCCTCAGGTTGAGACCACTGGCAGGCGTGCCGGGTCCCTGGCTGTGAAGTCTTCCCTAATTAGCTCATGGGATCAGACTTTAAGCCAAACTGAGGTTTCTCCAGAGAGAATCCCAGCTGTCTTCCTAGGTTGGAATCAGGAAGAAGAGTGTGTCGCTCAAAGCCGTCTGGGTTAGTAAAAGAAACAGACGAACTTTGGTTCCGCCCTCAGGCTTAGAGATGAGTCAGAGAAAGAAAGATAAAGATTTGCCAGCCGGCGCCAGCCCAAGGTTAAAATTCTGTGGTTGTTCAACATCATGATATGATAACCTCTTTTCAGCTTTCTTCTGATAGAGACTAAGAGAAATCACTGCAAAACATTTATGATGATTAATTAACATTTCTGTTTTATAATCAGTTCTGAACCTTCTGTTAGTCCAGACAAATGAAAGATTTTCTCAGGAAAAATCCACAATTATATTACTGTGTTCACAGTAAAATAAAAACAGTGATTTACATAAAAACACAATGAAAACATTGTAATCAGATTTTCTGTGATTTTTTTATACCATCATAAATCTTTAAGGCACGATAAAAGAAAATAAGTGGTTCCACTTTTCCTGTGACAGTCATTATCATGATTTAACAAATGCATAAACATTCTTAGTTAAACAACAAATGAATCACGAACAGAACAGAWTGRTCTGTCCATTATCTGATTAAGAGAACTGAGGAGTTCTCTTCCATGGTTAGAATGACCTGTCATGGCCTAAATAGAGTTCAGTTTGTGACAGAGTTCCTGTCCTCTCGTCAGGCCTGTCCGAGGCCTGCTTCGAGGCAGTAAATCTTGTTTCTTCACTCGAGGTGACCCCTACAGTATAAAGACTGCAAAGGCTGAAAAATCTTGAAGTCTGTATGAAATTGGAGGTAGTTTGAGGATTAAAATTTTTATGCTTTTTAAGCTAAAAAAAGGGGGGGGGGTCGTATTATACATGAGATCGTATTATACACGAATAAATACGGTAGTTATTTTTTCGCATCAATCCCTGATCACTGTTTTTGGTCACAGATTAATGAAAATGAATTGACTTCGTTATCACAGACAGCACATAGAAACTTAAATTTGATCCTATTTAATTTGTTTGCCTCAGCTGATTGATTGTATTAAACACAAAATATTGAGATGTGTATGCTACCTAAAATTTTTATTCTTTTTAATGCTATTTAGGARCCCTTTTCATTTCTTTGTTCCTATTTTCTTGTTCAGGATGTTCTGGAGGTGCATCTGTTGGGCCGTCTGGGTTTGAGTCTGTTACTGTTCTGAGTCTATCCACTTATGTATAATGCTGATTGTCAGTTATGAACTCCATTGCATTGTGTACATGTTTGTTATACAGTATTGCATTGAGTCACTACCCAGCAGACTTTATTCATGCTAACGCCATAACAGAGAATGAGAGGGAAAGTAGGAAGGTAAAGCAGGTTGCTGTTGTTCTCAGAGGACAGTGCTTCATTGAGAGGACTGGCACAAAAAGCTCCATTCACAGCTGCAACAACAGCTTTGTGACATTTCGTTCCTGTGACCGGGCAATTGTATAAATGCTCCAGCAGAATCACAATAGGTTTTCCACAAAGCTCACAAAAGCACAAACAGGAGCTCATTAACACAATAAATCTCTGCCTACTGTAAGCAAAGCACTAAAAACAAAATTATGCTAGATAAAAACYAGACAACAAACTTCACTTTGAGGAGCTCCAAGAACACATTTTAGTCAATGATTAATGAAGGCTGGACATGAATGAACTTCTTGTTTTGGGATAGTTTGACACACGTTTAAAGCAGCTGTCTTCAGTTGGTGTATGAGCTCAGTATTGTTTTCACGATTGTAAAGTGACCCTCTTATTTTACAACTATCACTGTTGGGATATTCTGTTTGAATCCATATTATAACACATGCATAATAATGTTTACTGAGCTTTTTCTCTCTCATTAAATTAAATCAAGACATTTGGGTGATCACAACAACACAAATGTCTGATTTATTTATTACATGGTGAAAACTCTTTGATAAAAACTATGTAGGCAAATGTGTTTTATCCCTTCAGGCGTATTTCGCGTCGCCTCGTTATGCTCTTGTTTATAACAAAAACAGTTGATTCTATCCTCCTGTTTCTTCTATCCGTCACAACCACAAATTAAAATTCTATTTATAACTAATTATGTTAAATATTTATTGTGATAAAGCCAAAGCTGGAATCATCTTTAAACTTTTTACTTGCCTAACTGATAAAATTAGTCATATGTTTTACATTTTTTTAAATTGATTAAACCTTTGGAAATACATTTTATCTTTTTAAAATAACTTGTAGTTTAAAAAAAACATTGTGGAAGTCCAGCCCATTCTCACTCCCAACTTGTCACACGCTTTTACAGGATTCCCTCTGTATCCGTTTTTGATGCGTCGGGTACCCCCCTTGCGTTACTTATTGACGAGATGGGGCGGAATCCATTGTCATAATTTCAGAAAGTGTAGAAAATTCACAAAAGCTAACCGTCCCAAAGCCTAAAATTACCTTTATTCGCTCTAGACATCCTGTCCCTGACCCTAGTTCATACAATTAACCATCAAACCTGATCCCTAACCATTTTTAGAAAGTGTAGGAAATTCACACCATGTGTCCCAAATCCTAAAACTACCTAATATTTGCCCTAGACATCCTATCCCTGACCCCACTACCTAAAATTAACCATGAACCCTGATCCCTAATATTAACCACGGATCCCAACTTAAGACACCTATATTTTGCGTCCCAACGCATCAAAACCGGACGCCGATGGAACCAGGAAATGCCTGGTGCATCAATAACTGACACAAAGGGTGTACCCGACACGTCAAAACAAGACGCAGAGGGAACCTTGGAAAAGTGTCAATATGTGAGGAGTCAGGAGTGAGAATGTGTTAGGAAGTCAGCTAACAGAGATAAAAGGTATTTTGAGTCTTGCTTTAATTATGATGTACTTAATTTCAATGTCTACAATGTCTAATTACAATGCCACCATCAATTGTTTCCGCTTTCTTAACCTTCACAGTAAGACGCTTTGAAATATAAATGTAAATTTCTGCCACATAAATTATAATTCCTTAACGCTTTTTTTATTTCGATGTGACTGCCCTAATTTTAGATCTGTCAGTGGGCATAATAATTGTTACTACTCACTCAATTTCATTGTATAACAAAAACTAAAGTAATAAAAACATCATGTTACATGTACATGTACAGACCTATCTGTACATAAAAGCACATCRGTGTTTCTAATTTCATCTTTTTTCTTCCTTTTTCTCTTTGTTTCAATGCATCAGCTATTTTTCTCTTCTGATTATGTTACATAAAGACGCTTTATAACAGTTTTGTTTGTTCTTTCCATGTTTTCATCGGAGAGTATTTTAGGACTGAGCATATCAGAACAGAACAGGATGAATTTGAGTCCAACACAATGTCGAACATCACAAATTGTTCAGATTAAAGGCATCTGTGAAACTGTGAAAGATCTTCAAGCTTTAAACAACATGTGTTGCTTTATACAGATTATTGTTTTTCTTAGTACAAGAATCTGGACAAATACCTTTGTTTGTTAGAATAACAAGTCGATGTTTGAATTGATCAAAATTTGCAGCTTTATTGCTAAGCTTTGTCTCCTTTGGTTTGCCAGGTTTGCCAGGGCTTTCCAGCATGTTTGGGAAGAAGAAGAAACGCCTGGAGATCTCCGCTCCGTCTAACTTTGAGCACCGGGTCCACACGGGCTTCGACCCGCGGGAGCAGAAGTTCACGGGGCTGCCACAGCAATGGCAGAGCCTGCTGGCGGACACTGCCAACCGGCCCAAGCCCATGGTGGACCCCTCCTACATCACCCCCATACAGCTGGCACCAATGAAGGTAGAGCACGAGCACGCAGAGGGCGTCTGCTCTGAGAGCTGAGAACAAATCATCACCACYTCCTGTCTGTTGCTCTAACATCATCTGTGTTTTCCACATGTCCTTTCTTTCTTTCTTTCTTTCTGTGTGAACATTGTTTGAATATTTCCTCCACTTCTTTTACTTTTCTATCTTCTCACTTTGTGTAGGTGTTGGTCTCTTCACTGTTTTGTTTCTCACCTCTCAGCTCCTCCACCTGTTGCAATCTCCTATCAGAGGCAAAATGGACAATTCTGCAGACCATCTGGCCACCTAAACCGTTGAAATATCTGAAATTACTGTTTGCTTTGAACCAGCATTAAGCCATTTATTGATGAGTAACGGTGAATGATTCCCTTCCTGACAAAGTCACTCAGAGAAACTAAACTTTGTTAGAGGTGGCAGTAAAATATGTTGTCACTGAGTTCAAATCATAAACTCTTGTGTGACTTCAGAAGTGGTTTTGATGCTTTAAACCTTATTGGTTTGATCACAGAGGATTGGAAGCATCTTTGATTTGCCTCAAATTTGATCAAATTGTTGTAACAATGTGCTACTATTACAGTAAATGTTAGATGATACTTTAACAGTTACTGGCAAATTTTAAAAATTAAAACCAGAAGCTTTTTTTGAGAAATTAAATAAATATTAATAAGATAGACTGAATAATTTTTATTGACATTTACTAACTATTAAGTATTTTTTAACTTAAAATTGTCAGGGCTTACAGGAGTAAGATCCAGGAATGTAGACTGAATACAAGGAGTTAGAGTAAAAACTAAAATTTTAATAATAAAATCAATAGAAAACAAAAAGCTGACTCAGCAGTTATTCACAGGGACTGAAAGGACACAAGGAGAACACGTTTTAGTAATGTTATGAAAGAGCCTAGAATCTTTATGTCCCAGTTTTCAGCCTTGTGGAAATTTAGCACTTCACCTTATTTGATAATATCCTCTTTTTTTTATCACCGTTACAATATTTTAATACTGCGGTATACCAAAGTACCATCATACCGCCCAAACCTACTGAAACGGAGGGCTGGAGACACAGGTAGACCATGAAAACAAACTGAACACTAGAAAAGTAATAGAGAAACCACAAAACAAAACAGCACAAATTAACAGAAAAATACCAGCCATGACCAAAATTGTTTTAACGAAGATGCAAACAATTAAATGTTTTCCTATATGTTCAACATCTAACACTCTAACATCTCTTACTGGACTCTTCTACACCTTTACTTATCTGAAATTGTTTAATGTTTTTTATCTGAATGAATGCTCAATAACCAGTGTCTCATTCATCTGAAACCATACTGCATGCTGATGTTGCTGTGATTTCTCTGTAATGTGAATGTGTTTCCTCTTCTCTCTGAGTGTCTCCTCTGATGTGTTGTTGTTCATTAGTTCTTCTTAATTTATGGCTTTGACACATTCGATCCACTGAAAATGGTTACTTTAACATCTAAACATTGCTTTAGTTTCACCCTTTGTTCACTGTTGGCTTGTAAATGAACACTATTTTAAACACTGAGCCTTAGTTTTTCTAAATGGTCTCATAGAATAAATTTAATGTTGGATAAGCCATACTCCTAAACCTAAACTCTGACCTGCAACACCTGTGTGCACAACTGTATAGCTAGGTAAAAACATGTCTTTTTTCTCTTTTTTGGGGAACCGAAATCTCGTATACAAATCTTGTCTCCAGCAGCTTTTGCTGACAGGGAAACCTGAAAAGACATTGAGCGAACAGCAATAATGCCGCAGGAGATATCTCTGAAGAGGGGGAAACAAGAAAATAATTCTCATGCTCTCTTCACAGATATCTCCCCAGAAAGTCCGGTCTTCTGAAACGCCGTTGCCCAAAGTATGACCTCCTCTTACCTTATGTTTTGAATCCTCCCCTTCCTTTTTTTTTCTTTAAATGGTTGCTCTCACACAGTCCCATCTTAGCTGTTAGTTCCCACATTCCTCCCCCCTGCTGCCTGCTGCCATGCATTTCAGGTGGAGGTGGGATGTCAGCAGGAACAGGGAGAAACATAGAGAATGACCTAACTACATCTCTGAGCCAAGTCTTTTCTTAGACCTCATCTCAACTTCTGTTTTTTTTCCTGCATGAGCCTCCGTAGAAAAGATAAGACTAGCTACAGTGGCATGCTCCCTTTGTTTCTCTACTTGCTGTAGAGCACTGTTAATAATGATGATGATGATGATACTCAAAATGATGATAATGATGGTGATGGGTGCTGTGATGTGAAGTGCATGTTGTCATAGCAGCTGATTCTGCTCTGCCGGAGGCCAGCATTCTGTGAAGAAAATAAAGTGTCATAAAAGGGTTGCATGTATTAGGAGGAACCCTTTGTTTCACATCTTCATCCAAGCCAAAACAGCCAAACCTAGAAGATGTTTACCCCAGCCACTTCTCCTGCCTTTTGATATTAAACATTAATACATTCAAAGCTGTAACATTGTGCAGTTCCTTCAGTAAAGCTTATTGGGTTTTGTCAGATTTCAGAGGATTTTAAGAAGCATTGAAGTGCGCATTTCTTCTTTGCTGTGCTTCCTGCASAAATGTGACCTTCCAGAAGAAATATGTAAAATTATTTTACTTCAGTTTTGTCTAAATTCACACTAAATGTCAGGACATTGTAAAAGACACTTTGCAAGTTACACTGAAATAGTTTTTTTTACATGTATTCTGGATTGGACTGAAGTCATTTGTTATCTTGGAATCTGCTTCTTGCAAATATAGAAGCTGCCATTCTATCATAGTGAATTCTCTAACTCACTTCTACTCAAAACTTWTTGTGTCTTTTATGTAAAATAATGCAAACTAGCACTTTTGTGTGTTGACGTGCATATGATTTCTTGAAGGGATATTAACATTTTGAAATGTAATTCTGTGGTCAAACATGTACATTTTTTATCTTACCTGTCGCTGGTAGCTCTGTGAACAACCCCAGTTTGGAGAAAGCGGTTTTGCATTTTCACCCCTTTTATCTAGGACTGGGTGGCCTTGTGAATTCAGAAGCACTATAGTTCATTCAAAAACCATTGTAAAATTTGAGTTTTAGTTTTGCATTAAATAGTTATTTTAGCTGGAACTGATCCCAGATGTCATTGGAAATGTTACATCTTACTGATGCTGCCATTATGCCATTATATGTGCAAATAAGCTCAGAATTCTAGAAAAAAATAACCATGTATTGTAAAACAAACAAAAAAATACAATGATGTAAAGGCCTATAAAACAGCATTTGCAAAAACCACTATATCATTTTGAAGATTGGATTTGTTTTGAGTGAGAGAGTGAATGGTTGGTTATCTCGTTTCTCTCTGTGTTGCCCTGGGATGGACTTGTGACCTGTCCAGGGTGTACCACGCTCCTCGCACTGTGGCTACTGGATATGGGCACCAGTGATCTCTGTGACCCTTCATGGAAGAAATGGGTTAAGATGATGGATGGATGGATGGATGGATGGATGGATGGATTTGTTTTAAGATGGCAATCCACTTTGGTCTTGGCCTCACTCAGATTAGCTGCTAGCTTGTCAGCTCAGTCAAAATTAAGCCTTGTTCACATGGAAACATTTTTTTAGTCTTTATTTGTCATTTCTAAAAATAGTCATAATCATGGCACCATTTTAAGAAAGGTTTTTATCCACAGAAAAATACTGAGAACTAATAAGTTGTATAAAACATTTCAAGCCTGTATTTGGTGATATAAAGATGCCACAAAAACACAAAAAACTGTAAATAAAGTGGGGAGCAAGCAATAAAAACTTGAAAGATCGGTGCAAATTATAAGCCTAGTTGCTAGTTGTTGTTGCAGGTGTTGCGGGGCAGGCCGTGGGGGTGGGGAGGTGTGCTCTGTGATGAGGAAGCTGGGTTCAGAGACACAGCCCAGAGGAGGAGCTGGTCCCAAAAGGCGGTTCTAGTCCCAACGGGTTGTTTTTGCTCCCCTGCCTGGCTGCCTCAGGACACTACAGGATTTCTCAAACATCCATGAATGAGTCAAAACAAGACTCTGGGCATGTTTTTGATGAGAGGATAGCATTATAACATGATATAAAACACAAAAAGTTTATTTTACATGATGTTGACCCTTTAATTATAAGGTCACAATACACCTTCAATGTTCCAATCTTATTTGATTGAAAAACACTAAACAATACCCTTGAAACAATACAAACTTGTTTGAACTGGACATTAGGAAGTGCTCACAGCAGATTATGATCCTCTGAAGTGATTTATACACAAAAGTGTATTTCGTGTTATGGGGTGTGAGACACTAACTTTTAAGGTGGACTGGGTAATTTATAGTGTCTCACCCATGGCCTGAAATCCTTCTCTCCTGGATGCTGTGACACTTGATTGACATATAGTTTCTTCTGCTTGGCAGACTCCCCCAGCTCTTTGTGCTAAATGTGTGTGTGTTTATGCATTCACCAGGTGGACATGGATGAAGCAGCCTCCAGAGTTGTCCTCACCAAACAGCATATGAAACAGTTGACATATTGGATGTCCATGTTAACCTGTCGGGGTGTGTGTCTGTGTAGATATTATTGCGTYATTTTGTCAGATAAGCAGTTACAAACTTTGGCAAGGTCATCACACTGAAAAAAATGGCCACCCTCGCCCTCTGGCTCGTGCACTCATTGTTTATTCAAGAGGCTTCTAATCTTGTTGTCAGACTGTTCATCTCTGCTGAGCGTTTGTGTTGCTTAAAGGGTCGGACTACTAAACCTGCTCTCTCTCTCCTCCACACCTTCCAAGCCTTTTAGCACACATGCTAATCCAGAAGTGTAGGCTAACACCGCTAACATATTAAAAGGCTTGAAGAAACTTGTTTTTACCTTTGTTTTTTTGGAAAGTTGTAGCTGTTTTAAAAATGAAATCGTGCAAGATCTCAGAGTGTGTGTTGGGAATGACTGTCATCTACTACTACATCAAATCTCAGCTGAAACTCTGTAAAATTAACTGAGTTGTAGCCATTTTTGTGTTTGCTAAAGTTGAAAGGTTGTGGCGGCCATCTTGAATCAGACTATAAACGGTAATCTGTTGTAAAACCAAGGATTAGTTTTTGAGAGTTTCATTAAAATGCATCCACTGGTTCATGACATATTTTACTAAAATGGCAGACAAACACACAGACCTGCCCTGTGTTTTGAGCTTTGATTTTACCTAAAACATGAAAATGTTTATTTATTATGACCCCCGCACGCGAAGCGTAAGCGGGAGTTATATTGTTTTCATAATTTTTTTTTGTTCAGTGTTTTATTGGTCAACCGTAGCACTGCACTGGTCAACATGAAATTTGGCAGGTCTGTAGATGAGTTCGACCTACACTGCGCCAGCCAGCAGTTTTACGATAGACCCCATATTTGAGGAGGGGGCTCCATCCAAAGAGGGGGTGTGAGGACATGCAAAAATGCTTATAACTCAGAAACTGTTCAACATAGGAGCTTCAGATTTCTTTTGTTGTTTAGCTCTGATGAAGCTCTATCCATCAGGCCCACCAATCAGTGAAACTGAAAGTGAAACTTAAACTGTCTGCTGAGCTCCACCATTTCTCACTCAGTGAAGCTCTTTTCAGATCAAAAATACCTTTGAGGAAACATATTTTCAGATGCCAAGTAAACTGCATCACAGCACCCCCCCCCCCCCCCCCCCCCCCCCCAATTTATCTGAAAAAGGGGTGTCTGGACATGCAAAAATGCTTATAACTCAGAAACTGTTCAACATAGGAGCTTCAGATTTCTTTTGTTGTCTAGCTCTGATGAAGCTCTATCCACCAGGCCCATTAATCAGTGCCACCCCCCTACCCCACACGGACCCCCAATTTATCTGAAAAAGGGGTGTCTGGACATG